ACTACTTATGAAAACAAAATTGCCCACTACTATTTGGGGCCATGCTATCTTGCATGCAACATCACTTATCCGTCTCAGACCGACACATTATAATAAATATTCTCTATCACAATTAGTTTTTGGTCATGAACCAAATATTGCCTATCTACGAATTTTTGGATGTGCTGTATATGTGCCAGTAGCACCACTACAACGCAGTAAGATGGGCCCATAGAGAAGGTTAGGAATATATGTTGGGTTTGAATCACCCTCTATTATTCGCTATCTTGAACCATTGATTGGAGATTTATTTACTGCTCGATTTACAGATTGTCGGTTTGATGAAATAAATTTTCCACAATTAGGGGGAGAGAAAAAGGAAATCAAAAGAGAAATTGTGTGAAAAGTTTTATCATTATCATTTTTGATCCACGTACCCCTATATGTAATCATGAGGTCCTAAAGATCATCTATTTACAAAATATAGCAAATTAAATGCCAGACGCGTTTACTGATTTGATAAACATAACCAAGTCACATATCCCTGCAGAGAACGTGCCTATCCAAATTGATGTCCCAGCAGGATCATCTACTAGCATGAGAGCTAGTGAACCTAAAGCACGCCTGAAGCGTGGTAGGCCTTTGGGTTCTAAGGATCAAAATCCTCGAAAAAGAAAATCGACAAATGATCAAAAAGATAGTATGAAGGGATCTCCTGAAGAGATCCAAGATCTGATTAGTTTTGAGATTCCTGAAGAAATCAATAAACCCGAGACTCAAGTGAGTGAGAAACTTTTAATAAGTTCTAATGGTGAAGGGATTAATTTAAATCGATTTGAAATAGTGGTGGATAATATTATTGCATATAATATTGCACTTAACATTATGCAAGATAGTGAGGATCTTGAACCCCGGTTTGTCGAAGAATGTCGACAAAGATTTGATTGGCCAAAATGGCAAGAGTTAATTCAATCAGAATTGAACGCACTTGCTAAAAGAGAGGTCTTTGAACCAGTAGTCCAAACACCTGCTGGTATAAAACCAGTTGGTCATAAATGGGGTTTTGTGCGAAAAAGGAATGATAAAAATAAAATTAAAAGATACAAAGCTCGCCCTGTCGCACAAGGATTCTCATAACGACCTGGAGTCGATTTTGATGAAACATATTCACTTGTTATGGAAGCCATAACATTTCGATATCTCATCGGTTTAGTACGACATGAAAAGCTTGAAATACATCTAATGGATGTAGTTACAGCTTATCTGTACGGTTCACTTGAAAATGAAATTTATATGAAAATTCTCGAAGGATTTAAAATGCCTGAAGCAAATTTAAAATCTCAAAAAATGTATTCAATCAGATTACAAAGATCTTTGTACGGTTTAAAGCAATCTGGGCGCATGTGGTATAATCACCTTAGTGAATATTTGCTGAAAGAGGGTTACATAAATGATGTTATTTGTCCATGTATTTTTATAAAGAAAATGGCATCAGAATTTGTTATACTTGCTGTTTATGTTGATGACATAAATCTTGTTGGAACTCCAGAAGAGCTCCAAAAGGCAATTGAATATCTTAAGAAAGAATTTGAGATGAAAGATCTTGGAAAGACAAAACTTTATCTTGGTCTGCAAATTGAACATTTAGCAGACGAGATCTTTATCCATCAATCTGCCCATACAGAAAGGGTCTTAAAACGCTTTTATATGGACAAAGTGCACCCATTGAGTATACCAATGGTTGTTCAATCACTTGAAGTGAATAAGGATTTGTTCCGACCTCCAGAAGAGGATGAGGAACTCCTTGGTCCCGAAATACCTTATCTTAGTGCAATTGGTGCACTTATGTATCTTGCTAATGCTACAAGGTCCTGACATAGCATTTTCTGTTAATTTACTAGCAAGATATAACTCTTCTCCTACACGGAGACATTGGTACAAGATTAAGCATATATTGCGATATTTAAAGGAAACACTTGATATGGGTTTATTTTATTCTAACAAAGGTAGTGCAGATCTTGTTGGTTATGCAGATGCAGGTTATTTGTCTGATCCATATAAAGCTCGATCTCAAACGAGGTACGTGTTTACATGTGGAGGTACTGTCATATCATAGCGCTCCACAAAGGAATCTATTGTTGCTACTTCTTCAAATCATGCTGAGATAATAGCTATTCATGAAGAAAGTAGGGAATGTGTATGGTTGAGATCAGTGATTTATTTTATTCAAGGAAAATGTGGTTTGGAATGTGATAAAAGATCCATAATTTTATACGAAGACAATGCTTCATGCATAGCCCAATTAAAGGGAGGATTTATAAAAGGAGATAGAACGAAGCACATTTCACCAAAATTATTCTACACACATGATCTTCTGAAAAATGATGACATTGATGTGCAACAAATCCGTTCAAGTGACAATCCGAAAGATTTATTCACTAAATCTTTGCCAACTTCAACTTTTGAGAAGATGGTATACAAGATTGGAATGCGGAGACTCAAATATTTGAAACAAGGTTTTTATCAGGGGGAGTAAAATGCGCGCTATACTCTTTTTTTCTTACTAAGATTTTTCTCATAGGGTTTTTCTTATAAGGTTTTTAATGAGACAACTAGTTATACGTATTACTAAATATGTGGACTCTTTTTCCTTCACTAGAATATTTTTTCCACGGGGTTTTTCCTAGTAAGATTTTAATGAGGCACATTATCTTTCAATGAGCATCCAATGGGAGTGTTATAAATATATTATAATATGGATGTTCATTTAGGACTTCATTGTAAATAAGCTTCCTGAAGAAGCTTATATATATATATATATATATATGAGACTCCGCCGTAAATATGATTATCTATTTAGTACTCTATTGGAAATAAGCTTCCTAAAGAAGCTTATCCTTTCGGTACTCCGTTATGGATAAATATTACCACCGGTAGAAGATTATCTATATCAGGTACAATAGCATCTTACACAACAGCTTGGAGTTGTAGCTTACAAGTAGCTTACACAGCAGCTTGCAGTAGCAACTTACAAGCAGTTTACACAGCAGCTTGCAGAAACAGCTTACACAACAACTTCCTTTCTTCTATAAATAGAGGAGATTTCAGTTCATTATGCACATAAGTTTGAAGTTTGAATAATATATCAGTTTCTCTCTATATTTGTCTTTATATTACGGTCTTTATTTTATAACACATAGTTTTAAGTTGTAGTTTAATAGATTAGTTCCTTTAGTTCAACAGCCTCCATCTTGTCAATTAAAAAAAATTAAAGGATAAACATAGTTAATTTAGCAGATAATAAATTAATGGGTAAAGACTGGTGCTTTAAGCCAAAGATATTTATACAATAATATTCCTTTCTCCTTGTTCCCCAAGTGAAGCCAAAACTCCTTTGTTAGAAACCAAGAAGTCAAAAATTGCCAAGTTATTATTATTCCTCGTGCAAATATGGCTATGCTCATTGGCTTAATAAGATTAAAAAAAAATTATGACATGTGTTATCTTTTATGTTGCTCGGATTCTTTAAAAATATTGGCGATCGTTGTCGAATTTTCAAAAAATGCACAATTTATCCGACACGCACCTGATTATATTTTTGAAGAATACGAGCAACATAGATTATCTTAATGGTACTACTGAAAATGCAACTTTAATGACTCAGTATTGATTTCAATAAAATTAAACAATAATATATATACTAATGAACTCCACATTTTCTGCATTGTCCTATTTTTGTACTTTTATCAGAAAACTTTTGAGTGGAATTAATTAGATAAATCTCTCTTAACTCATACTAATGCAAGAAACTGTTGCAGTCTAATTCAGCATTTCAATTAAGATCATATTTTATGGAAATATTTTTCAAGATGAAAATGAGAGATTTGAAATTAAAATATATTGTGATTTGCTTTGCAAAAGATGACATTACATTTTGCAACAAGAGTCTAACCATTTACTAGCATTACTCTAATATCAACATGTTATATGTTTCGTTTGTCCATCCCTGAATAAGCTAGAATCACATAATTTCTGTAGTTTTTATTTTTTTAATCTCCATTATATCCGTCCTAGTACTTTTAAGAAGCATCTTCTAGACAACAACAATAAAAACAAACCTACTATTGTATGGGATAAAATTTGTATATAATTTATGGACGAATGGTAGCATGACACGTGGAACCGAAGGCAAGAAAAAAGCAAGTCAGACAACAATCAATATCGGATATAACGAGTGTAATCGGCATCGGGTATACCCCAAAGGGAGCATAGTTAGCGGGAGGAGGTCAAGGATCTGCCATCGGATAACATTCAATGAGGGAATATTTTCTAACAACAAATGAGCGACCGTTGCAGAGAATATTTGTATTCATGGCCTGCCGTTTACATATTCATCAATGACTCCTTTATTATCATTTAAGAGAAGTTTGATCCTAAGATCTTATTTCCCTAAGTAAAGTTATAAATAGCAAGCTCAACAGCCATTGTAAAGACACGAAATACTTTCTACATACTAAAGCTTTATCTTGTCACTTTTGCTCTCAATCTAAGAACTTTGCTTACACTTTATCGTTATTCTCGTTTTTGCTCCCGGAGATATTACATTCGAAGTCAGGTTTGTCATCTCTTTTAATTTTGATTGCTAATTTTAGTAATTATTTTATCTCTTTATCATTTTCTGGATCACATCAATTCGCTTGTCTATTAACCATGTAACAAATTCAGTTGTATCGTTTTACGGATAAACAACTGTAATTCCCCAAGTGAAGTCGGGGGAGGGTAATGTGCACGCAAATCTTATCCCTACTTTATGAAAGTAGAAAGCATGTTTCTGATAGACCCTATTAAATCAGTAAAAGAATAGTCACAATATGAGTAAATACAATAATGGATACAATAATGAAAAATAAGCAATAACAAGAAACATTAATAACAGCAAGATAATAAGATAATGAAGCAAGAAAAATAATGAAGTACTAGAAATTTAAGTATAAGAAAGTACGAAAATAATATTNCCCCCCCCCAAACCCCCGCACCCACCACTTTCCCAACTCTTTCCTCTTTTAACAGACAAATCACATGTAACAAATCAGAGGCAACTTAATGTCTAGATTCAGTCATAAATCATAACACCAGTTCTTGAACTCTACTCCTACCAAATTTTACTCTTAGCTATGCCATGGCTAAAAATATTAGACTAATCTTTTTCTTGGTGTTTTTTATTTTAATATCAAGAACAGTTTTTTCTGATCAAGAATTTGTTTACAATGGTTTTAGTGGTGTTGCAGCTAGTTATTTAAGTGTAAATGGTATTGCTGAGATTGAAAAAACTGGTGCTCTAAGGCTAACAAATGAAACATCAAGAACAGTTGGTCATGCCTTTTACAAAAGTGCAATCAAATTCAAGAATTTTCCAACTGGGAATGTTTCTTCCTTTTCTACTGCTTTTGCTTTTGGGATTGTTCCAGAATATGCTAAATTAGGTGGTCATGGTTTTGCTTTCACAATCTCAAGAACTAAAGATATGAAAGGTGCTCTTCCTAGTCAGTATTTAGGCCTTTTAAATTCAAGTCATGTTGGTAATTTTTCCAACCCTTTTTTTGCTGTTGAATTTGATACTGTTCAAGATTTTGAGTTTGGTGATATTAGTGATAATCATGTTGGTATTGACATCAATAATTTAAAATCTAATGCTTCAGTTAATGCTAGCTATTTTTCTGAAGGAAATTCCACTAAGCAAAAGCTTTTTCTCCAGTGTGGTAAGACAATTCAGGCTTGGATTGACTATGATTCAACCAGAAATGTACTGAATGTTACACTCTCACTATCTTCGGTAAAACCAAGTTATTCAATTTTGTCTTTTCCAGTGGACCTTTCACCAATTCTTGAGGAGTTTATGTATGTTGGATTTTCTGCTTCGACCGGTTTGCTTGCTAGTTCACATTATATATTTGGTTGGAGTTTCAAAATGAATGGAAAAGCTCAATCTCTGGATCTTGATTTGTTGCCTAATCTACCTGGACCTAAAAAGGATCAAACAACCTTAATTGTAGCGACGTCTTTATCTGCTGTCGTCTTTCTTGCATTTGGTGTTCTTTTGGCCTTATACATCATTTGGAAAATCAAGAACATAGATGTGATTGAGCTTTGGGAACTTGAAATAGGTCCACATAGGTTTTCTTACAAGGAGTTAAAGAAAGCTACAAGGGGTTTTAGAGATAAAGAGCTACTTGGTTTTGGTGGATTTGGTCGAGTTTATAAAGGAACGTTGCCTAGGACTAATACTGATGTTGCTGTTAAGCGAATAAATCATGATGCAAAACAAGGTCTCCAAGAATTTGTGTCTGAAATCGCCACTATTGGTCGGCTTAGACATAGGAATTTGGTTCAGCTCATTGGATGGTGTCGACGAAAAGGTGACTTGTTACTTGTTTATGACTTTATGCCTAATGGAAGCTTAGACAAGTACATTTATGATGAACCAAGAGTCAATTTAACATGGAATCAGCGATTCAAGATTATTAAAGGTGTGGCTTCCGGGCTGCTGTATTTACATGAAGAATGGGAACAAACTGTAATCCATAGAGATATCAAAGCAGGGAATGTGTTATTAGATACGGAAATGAATGGACGACTTGGAGATTTTGGACTTGCCAAGTTATATGAGCACGGGGCAAATCCTAGCACGACAAGAGTAGTGGGCACGTTGGGTTACTTGGCTCCTGAATTAACCAAGACCGGAAAGCCTACAACAAGTTCAGATGTTTTTGCCTTTGGTGCATTGCTGCTAGAAGTTGCTTGTGGGAGGAGGCCAATTGAGGCGAAAGCATTACCCGAGGAGTTAATTTTGGTGGATTGGGTTTGGGATAAATGGAGGGAAGGTGCCATTCTTGAAGTAATTGATCCGAGATTAAATGGCGAGTATGATGAAATGGAGGCCGTGGTGGTGCTTAAATTAGGACTAATATGTTCGAATAATACGCCATCTAAGAGACCTAGCATGAGGCTACTGGTGAGATACTTGGAAGGGGAGGTGGCGCTCCCGGAGACATTGGCAGCGCCCAATGAATATGATGGGAAAAACGGTGGCGCTAGCGGTATGGAGTTTGAGGACTTTGTACATTCCTATCCGTCCTCGTCTTATTTAGAGAAAGTAAGCACGTGGTCATCGGCTTATGATGGTGAAGGAGATATTGACATTGAAGCTAATCCGATAACTCCGTTAACGGATTCTGGCAGAGAGGACAGCAGGTAGCCTATGCAAAAATGGAGGGACTATTATACCTCTTCTCCCAAATTCCCTCCTAATTTAGTGCTTCTTTCCTTCGGTTTGATATTTAGACTTAAATGTAAATTATGGCTTTTGAAAAGAAACTGATATTAATATCAACCATTCTCTGTATTTTAGAAAATTGGTGTTAGTAGGATGTGAATATATAGCCAGGCACCTTTGAATCTTGATCAAAACTTTGTCCAATTGAAAAGAATTCGAACTTCATTTGGTTCCTTTGTTTTTTCTCTGTTACTGTTCTTTACAGATAACTTTGTGGCATACTTCTACAGCAGTCATGTTAAAGTTAATCTGTAGGTTATTGAGCAGTGTTAAGTTAAAATTGTTATAACATTCTTTTATAATGTGGTGAACTGGTCCAAGTAGAATGTTATAGATGCTATTTTGAAGTCGAAATTCATTACTTGCTAGATGTGAAGTATCACAGATTTCATAAGAAAATCTGAGTCTTTTAGTTAACATAATTTCATGTTTATGTATTCTAATAAGTTCATTAGAACATATAATGTTACTAAGTAAGATTTGTGATACTTCTACAGTTCTACTTCTTGTTTCATAGATTTTATTCATAGTGAGAGTCGATCAGGAAGTAAATATTCTGGCTGTAGTAAAATATTTTTTATATATAAGGATCTCTACCATATTATTCACTGTATCACATGATAGTCTCGGATGCACGATAAGGCAACTCTTTATTCATATATAAGTGCTTAAATTTTTTTTATTTTTGGCAAAAAAGCCTCGTAGTCACTTAAACTTGTACCTGATTTTTACCCCGCTAAATAAACTTTCATCTTTCCCATTTAAGCACCTTTACTTGTATTTTGAGAATTAATAAACCCCTCCGCAAGTCGGAACATAGGGCATGCTACAAATTAACAAAAGTGTGGGTCAGCAAAAGACCAATTAAAACCATACACGTGGAAAGCGCGAAAACAAACTCCTCACCGACTGTTTTCCCCTCTCTTTGACCTGAGACTAAACAAGCCGTCTGCAACAATATGAAAATCCAAAGAATGATATATCCAGGAAAACAAAAAGAAAAGGAAAAAAATTGTCTAACGGTTGCCAATAGTGCTGCCACAGTGTTTCAACAATGGAGGTCGAGGGCTTTTTTTAAATAAGGAAGAAGAAAGTCGGAAGAATGAGGTAAAAAAGACTTTTGAAGTCTTGTGTAACAATTTAGGACATATTTTTTTGTTAACAAAAAATGTGTAATTAAAGAGAATCGGGGTCAGATTAAAAATAACAAAAGTTGTGGGTAATATTAAAATTTTCAAATTTTTTTAAAAACCATACCTATTCAAATTATTTTAAATTTTAATTTCCCTCTTCTTTCTCCTCTTTACTTCTTCTTCTCTTTCTTCCTTCTTTCTTCTTTCTCTTCCTCATTCTCTCATTCTTCTTCCTTACTTTCTTCTTTCTCTTCAACTTTCGTTGCTGCTGCTGCTACTGGTTCGTCTATGTCATCTTCTTCTTCTTCATTTTCTTCTTTGTCTTTTTCTTCTTTCCCTCTTCATCTCATTTTTATCTTCTTCTTTTTTCATTTTTTTTTCTTTTAGTAATTTAAAATATACGAGAGAAAGAGAAAAATATGAAATTTTACAAAGTGAGTATTCTGCAAAATACTCTCGAGATATTTTGAGACATTCTCATAAATGAGTATTATGCAAAACATCACCGGGATGTTTCAAATATCTCTCGGAATGTTTGAAACATCCCTCAGGATATTTCTTCTGCTTCTTTCTTTTTGATGTTTGATCTTTTTTCCACAGATGTTTGAAACATCTGCACGTTTTGAAACATCTCTGTAGATGTTTGAAATATCTCTCTAAATATTTGAAACATCTTCCTAAATGTTTAAGGATTAGGAGTGGCGGAGGATAGAGAGGAGCATTGCAAGATGGAGGAGCAAGGGAAAGATAGAGAGGAGCGTTGCGAGATGGAGGAACAAGGGGAGGAGGAGGGGAGGAGTGGGAGGAGGAATAGGGATGGAGGAGGAGAGGGACTTTTTTGTAAATAAGAAAACTTTGGAGTTTTTAAAAATTATGAGCCCGTTTGGATTAGCTGATTTGAAGTAGCGGATAAGTATTAGGTGCTGAAAAGCACTTTTAAGTGCTGAAACTGATTTAATAAATAAACAGTTACGTGTTTGGATACGAGTGCTGAAATTGATAATAAGCTGCTGCAGTATTTGATAAAAAAGTGATAATAAGCTCTTTTTCTGTTAAAATGACTTAAATAACCTTAGAAGTGTTTACACTTATAAGGGCGAAATTTCTTCAAAATTTTAGATTCCAAATCGATCCAAATACAAAATATTCTATTTATCATTTTATTTTAAATATAACTGTGCGTAGATAAGATAACTTTTATAATAAATATAATTTATTTTATGATAAGCATATAATCATAAGTTATAATAACTAATAAATTGATAAAAGTTTCTCAGTAAAAAATAAACCTAAATATGACAAAATATTTGAAGAGAAACAAACACTGTCTTTATCATCACAACACTTAAAAAGCAACACACAAAAAATTTGATATGTCCTCGTTTATTACATACAGTTTAAAGATTAATACACAATCAATAGATATAAATATACAAAGGAATAGAGAATTTATTTATCTTAAATAGTCAATGAGCATTGCAGACTTGAAGAGGCGGGAGGGGGAGGGGGAGGGAGTTAAGTTGAAATAGTACTTGAGACGTTGAGTATTGATGTAAGAGTTTTGTTCTAAAAAGAATATTTTAAGGATAAAATAGTAAAAATTTTGGTCAAACTTTAAGTGCTTATAAACTAAAAATTTATAAGTTGGGGGTGACCAACTTATGCCTTTTGGCTTATTTTTGACTTATAAGCACTTGGCTTATAAGTACTTTTAACTTTACCAAACGCGTAGATAAGCCGAAAAGTGCTTATAAGCTAGTTTGATCAGTTTATAAGCTTAGCTAAACACTCCCTATGTCATTAACACTAATCACAAAAGTATCCCTTCAACCCCATTCTTAACACTTTTGTCTTAAAAATTGATATAAGTTTTGAAGTGTCATAAAAAATAAGATCCCGCGAGAAAGTCTTTAAATAAATGCCCTTATTACCATTGGGCATTGAAAAAAGGAGCTTCACGCTCCAGGCTGACATGAAATACATGCAAAGCAGCTGACTAGGACTAACATATGTCACATATGTATGGTCAACGGTCAAACAGGTTTATAAATTCTCAAATATACAAGTAGAGATGCTTCGGGATGAAAATCAGTTGCAAGTTTAAGTGGCTATGAAGCCGTTTTGCATTTATTTTGATTTTTTATCCGGTATCTGATATTTTCATTGGGGTCCGACTAAATCTAAATTCGGCGACGGCTACATTTGGTTTGGGGGGAAGTGCTTAAATTATTAAAAGCATATGAAACGTGATTGATCTTTTAGTTGCCATGTGCAAGCCTGTCTTGTCTTTGATTTTACGTAAATTGTATATTGGCTAATGTCCATTTTGTGTAATGTCTCCAAATCTTTTCTTCGCCCACCTTGAAATGATATGGACAAGCCAGCAGCACAAATCATATATTACAGGTGAAAGGCATATTTATATATGGACAAAACCTAAAACTGTAAACTGTATGTAAGGTCTCTTGTACTGCAGCTTTGTTATTTATTCTCTCTTCTCTCTTTTCAAAACCATCATCATACTCGGCAGGGTATTAGTCCGGTCTACGAAGCATCCCGCATTCACGTAAAGTTCGAAGAAGGACCACACCCTAAGGGGGTGTGATGTAGGCAGTCTACTATGATGCAAATATTAGTGGCTGATTTCACGGCTCGAACTCGTGAAATAATCACGAGAGAAAAAAAAAAAAAAAAAAAAAAAAAAAAAGCGAGTTGATTATAGCATTTTGTGACAGTATCTTCACCAGCAAAGTATTATTACATAGGAAAATAAGCTTTTTACGGTCAATTAATTAAGCATGTTTGGGATAACAAGAATGAAGATAAGATCTATGTTTAAGCTATCAAATCATCTGGTTCAGATTTGCCAATTCCTAACTTTGATATAATTTCAAAATACTAAGGGAAAATAAATTCAATACACAATTTGAAGGGGAGCTTTAGTGTAATTGGTAAAATTATTGTCATGTGACCAGGAGGTCACGAGTTCGAGCCGTGGAAACAGCCTCTTGCAAAAATGCAGGGTAAGATTGCGTACGATAGACCCTTGTGGTACGATCCTTCTCCGGACCCCGCACATAACGGGAGCTTAGTGCACCAAACTATCCTTTTATTATGTAACTTCTACTTATTCACATCAACAAAAGCACATTTATATAAGGACAAAACTCAACTAACTGCACTATGGCTTTTTCCATTTATTCTCCCTTCTCTCTGTTCAACACCTTCATCATACTCATATAAAAAAGAAAACAAAAGAAAGAAAGTGGCAAGTCAATAATACAATTTATTAGCTACAAAGAATTAGCTTGTTATAGTCAATAAGCACGTTTGGAATCACAAAAATGAAGATAAGATCTATGTATTAAACCAGAGCTAACAGGGTTCATGCACAATCTTATTAATATTATTAATGCTCGGCCAGTGACTGATCTAGACTAGACGTAGCGGTTCAGAATCTGCTGTAATCAGAGGCGGAGCCAGGATTTAAAATTTATTAGTTTGTGATTCTAAATCTTTTAAGTTACTGAATTCTGAATTAATAATTAGTACATATTCAATGAACTTCTCGAGACAAATATATGATTGGGAGTTGTGACCAATGCTACTAGATTAAGCTGAAACTTTAGCTTCTACTCTCCCTTCGCCCCTAACTATAACTAGCTCGGACTCTATACATAAATAGTAACTCACTCCTAGCTAGGGGAGAAAGAGGAACTTGTACAAGCACTAATTCTTCTAACTAAAATTTAATTTTAAACAAACAAAAAAAATAAGAGAAAATTTTAACAAGTTTACCTGCAATCCAAAAAAATAACTCATAAGTAGAAGAAAAGGGAGACAGACATCTGTTCAAGCTCAAATTCTGTAACTGTCCATAGATTTATGCTCTCCTTAAAATCAAGCCTCTACTATGCAGGTTATTTCACGATCCAAAATCCGTTAAAGGTTGTGATGGTGTCGGACACCACTGTCAGGCAAGCCAACACTAAATAGTTAATTAAATTCTCATTTTAATATTTCTGAAATCGT